TATACCGTGAACCTTTCGTACAAGAATGATAAGCGCTAAGGCTATTTTGAGCAGATACGAAAGTTAACCGCAAACCTGAGTCCTCCTCCCTCTTTTATAGGCGAGGCTCAGGTATGCGTAAAAAGGCTTCTCGCCTAAGTATGGGCCCAACACTTGCCCCATATTGAATACTATTCTAACAGATATATTTAATCAGTACAGAATAGAAATAGTAAACATCTAACTTATTACAGACAAAACAGACAAACTTGATTCACAATAAAATAGTCTTCAACATCTTCTCTCTCTCTCTCTCTCTCTCTCTCTCTCTATATATATATATATATATATATATATATATATATATATATATATATATATATATAGGGAGCGGATCAGCTGAGAAGTTCCCTTAGACTAAGCAAAAAACACGATCTTTTAACAAAACAATCATAACTTATAGACCCCCTCAAAAACACGAACTTTCTGCAAAAAAAATTTTCCAGGTTTCTGGAGTTATTTTGACGCGGTGGCATTTTCGTAATTTTTTGGAGGGGGTCTATAAGTTATGATTTATTGGTTAAAAATTCGTGTTTTGAGCTTATAAGTTAGACTTCGCGGCTTCTCAGCCTAAGGGGGACTTCTCACATGATCTTCTCTCTCTCTCTCTCTCTCTCTCTCTCTCTCTCTCTATATATATATATATATATATATATATATATATATATATTAAGATTTACACGTTTTTAGTGCGATTTTATAAATTTATTACTACGTAATAATTACTACGTATTAAAGATTTGAGTATTTATTGAATAATTCGAACACGAATATTAACGGACATAGTCTTGAGTTCTATCCTAACATATTTATCGAGTTTATTGAGTACTGGAGTCGTACACCGAAAATCTACAGGGCCAAACTCTCCTATATCATACATCCGGGTGTATGTACACCCGGCCCAACTATGAAAGACAGCCCAATAAATCATACAGGCCAAAAAAATTTCGGTGGCATTTTTGTAATTTAGGCGAAAAATAACGGCTTCCACTAAATGAGCAATATTGTACTTTTAGTGAGCATCCAACTTAATTTATTGAGTATTAAGAGGCTAACAATGAGTATCACGATCTCTGCTTTATATCTTCTATTTTTTGTTCTTTTTCTTATTTTTTCTTTTATAAAACTTATTAAATTATATCTATAATCCACTCCTATTAATTCCAATATACGAATCTAATGTAATATTATACTTTTGAAATATGCATTGATATGACATTTTAAAAATGAGCATAACATCAGTACCAAATGAGCATACATAACTTTCAAAGTGCACGTTGATATGAAAATCGTAAGGTTTGTTAGCTGAACATATAACATTTGAATTGAGCATCAGACCTCATCTATTGAGATGAAAATCACGGCTTTTGTTAAATGAGCATTAATGAACGTTTAATGAGCATCATACTTATTCTGTTGAGTATTAGGATTCCAATATTAAGCATCGTGAATTCTGTTTCATAACTTCAGATTCACTCTCTTTTTATTTTATTTTCTTTTATAAAAACTTATTGAATTATATCTATAACTAAGTCTTATGAATTTCGATATGCGAATATAATATAATGTATCTCATTTTAAAATGAGCATACAACCAAAACTGAATGAGTATATACAATTTACAAAATGAGCATCGAAAAATTCAAAAGCTCATTTCAAATCTCTAATGTGCTCAAATGTTCATTAATGTTACATCAATGCACATTTACTTTAAACATTATACTCAATATCGTATAACACACAATTAATTTTAATAACCTCTATGAGTAATCATTTTAGAACATTATATCAATACACATTTCCTGTAAAGAAAAAAAGAAAAAAGACAAAAAAGTAAAAGTAACGAAAAAGTAAAATAAAAGAAACGAAAAGAAAAAAGAAAGAAGAGAAAAAAAGTAACGAAAAAGTAAAATAAAAAAGACAAAACAAATACTCCCTCCATCCCTATATAAAAGTATCCATTCATTTTACACACATCTTAAGAAAGTGGGTTTGGTTGGTATTGTTTGGCACTGTTTGGACACTGTTTGGCACTGTTTTGCACTGTTTTGCACTGTTTTGCACTGTTTTGTTTGCCAAAAAGGGAAAGGGAACTTTTATTTAGGGACGGCCCGAAAAGAAAACAGATACTTTTATTTAGGGACAGAGGGAGTATAAAAAGAACTAGGATAACGGGATGAAGGCTAAAAAATGAAAAGGAATGGCGGCTGAAATAAATAAAAGCAACGGGAGTGAGGGAATGAGGATGACGGCAGAAGAAGAATCAGCATGCCACGTCATTTAAAAACCGGGTGTACATGTACACCCGGGTGTATAGTATAATTTGCGAAACTCGAGGTTCATTTTGTACTAGGAATATTCATTTCATTGTTTTGATAAACATATTACATACTCCCTCCGTCCCGCTAACAATGAGACAAGAGGGAGCCCGCTAACAATGGGACAAGAGGGAGTTGCACGCAAATTAATAAAAAGTTGTTTATGTGGTTGATATTGAATTGATAAAGTAAGAATAAAGTAAGAATGATTTAGAGCCTCACAAATTTTACCAAATTTGGTATGCGACATTCTTAGTGGGCAGACCGATAAAGTAAAATGGGACAATCATAGCGAGACGGGAGTAGTATTAATGAACAAGATCCAGAAGGTTTCACCATGGTCACATAAAAAAGGAACAAGAACAACAAGGCTCAACAACTTCCGAGATGCCCGATTTATCCGCCTTATTACCTCCAGGCTCCAGCATCCCATTAAATTCCATAACTACTGTGACTTGGATTTATCTATCCAAGCAGGGGTCCCGACAAAATAACAAATTTAATGCATAAATTGTCTTCATATTTTTTTAAATTCACATGTAGCTTCTCTTTTTAAAGGACAGACGGAGTATGTAATAAGTGTTACATTCAATAATAAATTTTATACTACGTATTTGTTACATACTTTTCCTGAAGTGTTGTTACATTCTTTTAAAATTAAAAATGATTACGCTTGCGTGCAATTAATGGCAACATTTTTAGTGTGCTGAAAAACACATTTCCATTGATTCTACATATCGTTATAATAAAGAAAAGGTAACGAGAGCAAATGTATAGTAACGACACAAAATTACTACATCAGGTAAAATGTCATACACTTTTCGACCAACTGTAACAAATTTGACTATTACACACTTTACTTGTGTTGCATGTGGTCAAATTAGGGACCGTAATCAGTCGATCTGATCCTGGTCCAGTCTCGTTTATTTTATGTTTTTATTAATGTTCTTGAGAAGCAATTGAAAAGGAGTAGGGGTTCATTTAAAAGTTGTTAAGGATGGGAGGGGGCGGGAAGACATGGATTGAAGTGGGACACATGGATTGAAGTGGGGGCACATGCCCCCAATAAAATTGAATTAGCCTATTAAGAGCTCGTTTCATGACTCTATTTTTCGGCTTATCAAGCTTATCAGTCAACCAATTCATCAAATACACAATTTTTGATTTCACGCGCTGGATTGTGTAATAATAAGGAAAGGTCAGGTTGAAGTTATTTTTTGTGGCTGTATTGACAAGGTGATTTTGAAATCTCATTAGCCATTTACTTATATTAACAAAAATTTGATTTTAGATAACTATAGTGTCTGCCTAATGTCTATCATGCTGTTGCATTTTAGGTTTGTATTTGTTATTTGTGTATTTTCATATGAGAAGACTGGAAAACATGTACACATTTTCTTAACCATGTAAATATGTATGAATAGGACATTGCTAGTGATGGCTGCTTCAGCCTTGGTATGATAGCTCACTTTGAGCCCATTTTGGGGCGAAAGAGATCAGCGTGGATGTATCCTCAGTTATTTTATACCTTGAGGCCTATGCTGTTGGTGTTTCTCCTGCTGGAATTGGTTGCTTCTTTGATGACCACTCAACCTTCTCTCCCCCTCTCACCCTTATCCATATTTCAGTCTGTTCAACGAGAATTTCATAAATTTTAGCAGAATCAATCAATACAGCCGATTTGGGTATTATCAAATGGGCCCTAAATCTCTATCTGTTTTGAATAATTCCCCATTCTAAAGGCTTGCATGCTCCCATTAAAAAAATTGTGTGCCCCCATAGAGATTGTAGCAGCGTAAGCAATCTTTTTAACATTTCTCCCATTTGATAGTTCTTTATTAAAATTTTATATGTAGCCCGAACAGAATCCATCCTAATTTTAAAATATTATATCCCTTCTAAGAATTTTATATGTATTCTTTTTTCACCGATTTCTAAATACGTTCTATCTAAATAAATTTTAATTACAAAATTTTCAGTATATCTCCAGAATTTTATTACTCTATATATCTCATAAAAAAATATAATTTAATTAAGAAACGATGACATACATATGACTAAAATTGAAATGGTGGGTAAATTAAAAACGCGACATATTGTGAAACATGATTATATTGTTAACGTTTAGCAAGTATTGTTATGTTAAAATTTGTACTTTAGAGATTATGAACTTATACATATAGGATCTTTAGTCATAATTTAGCTAAACAATACATAAGTTTTTCATATATGTAAGTGGATTAACTAAAAGTAAGTCTAAAACTTTACTTTACCAAAGGTAAAATATTGCATAATGGAAAATACATGATACTATGATAGTATACTCAATGTTGTGTTATATTTTACGTAGTATTATTTATATATGGATGCATATAAAGTGCCACCAATCAATGAATTTTCTGGATCCGCCTCTGATGGGAACTAATCGAAAACCGGAATTATGTATCTTGATTTTGGGCTCCTATTATTAAAACTAGTTGAGCTGTAACTCGGACAGTAAATTACAGTATTATTTGTTTGTGAACACACTAAACCGGTAAAGGTGCGTAGACTTTGAGAATATGTAACTATGTAAGTATGTAACTATGATAAGGAATGATAATTAACAATGCATACTTGCATAATCCATTAAAAATAGAGTGCTTCGCAGAAAGACATTTATGATATTTAAATGAGAAAATACAAATGACAAAAAGAGGCTCTTATACTATTGCATATTTGCATTCTGTCAAAGTTTCAACATCATAATATGAATAATGTAAAGACAAATGCTCATAAACTCATGAAGCCTAGCCAAAATATAATAGTCCAAGTTTAAGGCCAAAGAGATCCAATTTTTTCATCCTTTTATCCAAACATACAAATGGGAAAATGGTGAAAGATGTACTAATTCTTGATCTGTAGAGGAATCATAGTATTCTACAACATAAGTTGCATAATGCAAAGAGTTAAAAGCGGTAGTTTCTTGATGTAAGAAGCATGGGGATGTGTTAGAGGTTGGAGGTTAAACAGCAGTTCCTGAGAGCTTAGAGAAACTAAACTTCTTAAGGGTTGGCCATTGCTTTTCACGGTTTCCACATTTTAGATCTACGATTTCCACTATACGAGACCCCCTCCTAACGCCTTTCTCTCTAATCGGGGTAGTTGTTTCATCCACGGACAAGCGTCCTGATTCTAGTATGGGAATTTCATGGGTTTTCCTGGTGTAGTTCTTCACCTTTCGCCCGACTTCAGGGCTATTACTGTCATTTCCACTGATGGTTTCGTTTATTGATGATGATGTTTTGGGTCTCATTCGTTTAGGACTGGTAGCAGCACCAGCAACGAAAGAACAGATGGATGGCGGCTTCTTTTTTATTGGTCCAGCTACAGAAGGTTTCACACCATCTAACTCTTTGGAAACAAGAGCACTAATTGTGCCTGTGGTTCCAACCTTCATGGACCCTCCCCCACCTTTGATTTCCTCCAATGTTTGAACCATCTCTTTCATTTCTTCCTTCATTCTTTCTTTCTCGAAGCGTATTCCTACAAAGCGTAACAATCTACTTACAAGCCTTGCGAAAGTAGTGACAAGTAAACAAGAAGTTTGAAACACATGTACACGGATAAACCTTAACCATTTTAGTCATATATCAAGTCAAAGGTAAACAATTGTATTAATTATTATGATTTCATCCTAAAACTTAAGTGGTGGAGTTGAATCTTGGTTTTTTTTTTTGATAAATCCTTTGATAACTTGCAAGCTATCTTCCTCATTCCAATCCATTTAAATAGCTTACAAACTGAAGTTAATACTATTGATGTGAAGTTTATTTCATTAAGCTTCAGAACAAGTAAGGTACAAATGGAGACCAAGGAACAAATAGCTTGTGCTTGCAAAGCACGCATGTAGTATGGTTTGGAAACATAGCTATGCAAGTAAAACTTTACTAATTTCTAGTTTTTTCATATGAACATCCTTTTGGGGCTATTTTTAATTTCTTTAATATTGACATGGTTGTCTTCTTTTTGGTTGATTATTTGCAAAGACAGAATATAGTCAAAGATCTAAAATTTGAAATTGCAACAACTAGAATTGAGTTGATTCCTATTAGGGAGTATCTGGCCGCTGCAGTTTATAATTTTCGATGGACCAAGCCTTTTATTGCAGCTGTCATTAAACAAGACCATAATAGTTCAGCTTTGCCAAATGCTCCTTCTAAGACCACTGTACTAATGTTGAAAGACTTCTTTCATTTAAAGTGATTAGATGACAACCCACAAATCTCACACTTGCTTACATGTTACGTAATATATATACATAATACATGTGAGTATTCCAATAAATCAATTAAAAGAATTTTGAGTTTATAGAGCTGGAAGTTCCTATCCATTTTCAGTGCTCTTCTAAAACTCTAAAAATCTTAGAGCTAATGTCAAACAATTTTTTTGTCCCTAAACATTCCGGATTTCGTACATTCATATTCTCTAAATCTGAACAGATAACACTCTTACATCTCTAATCTGACGAAAGAAAAAGGTGTGGATCTGGAAGGCTTAGTTTTCTTCTATCCTAATATAGGAAACAATAATACATAAAAATAATTTCCTAATAAAACCTAAACTGCAATATGAATAAATAATGTTGTGAAAGATCTTTCAACAACTGGAATGAAACATCTAGTTTCATTAAACAATTTATTTGTAAGGTTTACATGTGTCCTAGCTAACCAAGAGAGTGAGCAAACACAACTCAAATATAGAAACAAAGCTGAAATGGCATAAACCCCTTCCAGGTAGCATAAAACTGAATGTTGGTTCCAGTTACAAACATGGAGATGGAGCAATAGAATTGATCTTACGGTACAGAGTATTGCAAAAACCGAATACCAAATATAGGCACAGCAAAGTGCAGTGGCTTTTCATTCGCCAACGTAAATAAGTATCTACAGATCTTTAATTAGTCATCAGCACCATTTGGCTGCCAACACAAATTTTTAAGTAAAGCACTCCTACATTGGCTTTTTTCAATAAAGCTCAAAACACCCCCAGAGTGTAAAAAAATGAGAAGTACTATAGAACAGTGTTCTCCCACAAATGTGGCTACAAGCTTTCATAAACAATTCCCAAATATGTTTAACTGAAAAATATCTGGAGATCCAAACATATCCAGTTAATTTTACAAGAATTATGAAGCCTCTTACACGTGAGAAAACCATTAATCTATGTCTTTGACTGAAATGGATCAGAAAGCAACATCACAAACTGAAAGAAAGTATACACTTTACCAAAATACTTTAGACACAGCAACGGTTACGCATCTGAACTAGAAATACAGAACCGGATTCTAAAATTACCCCACTAGATTTCACTAAATAAGAAAAATTCGTGAAACAGAATTCAATTTGTGGAGAAATAATTTTCATCAAGAAGAGCTTCACCTAGGAGAAAATAGGGGAAAAAATTGCGGAATGTAAATAACAAGAAAAAAATCATAGAAATTATTACCTTAGCTTACACCCACGCCAACAAGGAGATGGGAGGAAAAGACTCAGAAGAAATGCGCCGCAGGGATTAAAGTAGGGATAGAAGCGCGTTATATAATGAGTAAGGTGGATAGAGAAGAGAAGCTGGGATCTAACCGGTTTTCAATTCAGCCTGTTTTTGCCGGCTGATATTTCTCCAAAAGCTCTCCTTTTAGCCGTTTGAGGATAATTGACTGTGCTTCAGGAACTGATATGTCAAACATAGCTTTTATAGGATGTGGAAAAGCTTGCTTGGATTTGAAGGTTTTTGAACAAGCTGTGCTGTCTCGCTTGAATATTGCCTTGTTCAGTGACGGATTTTACAATACAAATGGTAGTTTTTCAAAATCATTTGTGTTAGAATATTGACAATAGTATGTAACCAATGTAATTATTTTAGTCCCCGTTAATATACTACAATTTATTTTACATCTTTGCGATTTTTTTTTTTTTTTTTTTTCTTCCCTGGAATTTATGTTGGTTTTGATCGATGATAACAACCTTCGTTAGAATTCAAAATAACTCAAACTAATAGATTTCTTCTACTTCTTTATTATGTATTCAAAAAGTATTTAATATTATTGTTTAGAAGGTTTTTAATATATATTTTTAAAATGGGAATACTTAGTTTTACATAGTTTTAATTCTAATATTAGCCTAAAAAAAATACAACAGGAAAATTTTAAATAAGGAAAATTTACATAGTAATTTTTTATAACCAAATGTAGTTGCATCTGAAGATCAGGAAAAGGAAATTCAAGCAAGCCCATTTAATAAAGAATTACCATGGTACTCTCCAAACACCACCATAGTGTTTTTGATGACAAAATGTGTTGCATTTATGGAGAACTATACTTTCCATTGATGTCGAATTTAAAGTGATGCTCCAAAATCACAATAGGATGAAAGAATATGATTTAACCGCATAAAAGTCTTCCATGTAAGCTTGAATATTCCCCTCCCACGCCATGTGAAACCAGCTTGGGTATCTTGGAGGCCGGGCACATTCACACATAAATCATGTAAATCATCAATATCATATAGTAATAAGATTTGACAAGGATCCTTTGTCAAATAACTGTCAATCCACTTCCAAAAAAAACTGTCAATCCATTGACGTAATTCAGGATCTTTTGACATTATTTTAAATGTTATGAATGATATTATCTGATGAAGAAATTTAATTATTCAATGAAGAACATCCAATGCTCAGCCCTTTACTACTTTTCAGAATTAGTCTATAAAATCGTTTCATAAGAATTCTTTGTTAAACAATGTAGAAAGACTACAATTGAAGCAATATGAGTATAATTGTAAAAATATCATTATAAGAAACTAAATTAACAAATCCACAATTACAATACCATTTACAATTTGTTAAATGGGAATAGAATTTCACCATTTGTGTGTGTGTGTACATGTGTGTGTGTATACATGTGTGTGTGTGGAGCGGTTCCAATGAGAACCACGCTTAACATGAGAACATGAGAACCATGTTCTTTTAAACAATTTGGTGCACTATGAGGCTCACCTCTTACACTTTTTAAACATCAAATAAATGTGGTGCCAAATTTATAAATATTTCATTAAAATGAAAATGTGCAATGTATACACGCTATAGTGCATCACATGTGTTTAAGAGGGGTGTCCCCAATAAGGATTCTTGTAGATTTTAAAGGAATTTAGAATTCCATCAAAGTTTAGATGTCCTCAATTTGGATTTTTGTGGAGTCTATGACAATATTGGTGTCGTCAAGCATTTCATGGATTTCAATTAGTTTTTGTTTAGATGGATTTTAAAGGATTCTAGTGGAATTATACATAGAAAACATTCTACTAGAAATCTTATGCCTACACCTTGGATTTCAAATCCAGAAAGAAAAGATGAAAGAGATTGGGTGGAAGAGCTGGATCAAGATCCTCTGCCATAAGGCAGAGTGCCTTGCGGCATCCGACGGCAGCGAAGCGACGAGCAGGATCTCGAGATCGGCAAAGGGGTGGAGCCCAAGATCTTCGGCCGTCGAATTTCCAATCTGACGGAGGTAAACAGCTAGGCCCCCTCCTTGGCTGCTTAAGGCCGAGAGGCCCGATCCAGAAGAGCTACGGACATCACTAAAGTAGTCGTCTGCTGCAGTTGCTGAACCTGTGGCCACTTGCCGCCACCATCGCTGAAGCAGACATTTGACTAGGCTTCCACGTTCGCCGGCGGCAGAGCTGCAACACCAATTCCGTCTGAAGTTCACGGTCAAGGCAGAGCTGAGCTTTCTTGCTATGAAACGATGAAGGAGAAAGTAGCAGCAAGAGGTTTCATATTGTGGGATATGGAATTGGGAGCAAGTAGCAACAAGAGGTTTAATGGCTAGTCATTCCGTTCGTAGCAGCAACGATTCATAGAATTGGGAGAAAGCAGAAAGGTATGGAATTAAAGTCCATTGAAATTCAAATAATTCCATGGTATTGAAATCCATAACATTCTATAAGAGTCTCATAGAATCTCTAAAATTCCATTGAACTCCTTAAAATCTACGATCTTTTAAAATCCATCAAAATCATTGTTGAGGACACCCCCTAAAGTGGTGTTCTCACGTTAAGCATGGTTCTCATTTAATATTAAATCTCTCTCTCTCCCTCTCTCTCTCTATCTCTCTCTCTCTCTCTCTCTCTCTCTCTCTATATATATATATACATATATGTCAGGTTTTCACCTCTCCAGCTCAGACCACGCTCATACAGCACACACACCAAAGCACCACCGGAAGGGACAAGAATACTCAGACCAGCCCAGCCATCTCAACGCACGCCAAAGGTCAGAAAAGGGGAAGCACGGAGAGAGTACCACAGAGGGACCGGAATAGAGAAGAGACAGAAGTCTCTCTCTCTCTCTCTCTATCTTAACCTCACACTCTCTCTCACTAACCGAAGACCTCTGCGTCAACCAAAGGCGTAGAGGAGTTTAAGTACCCGGGCAATAGGGGAAGCCCTAAAGGAGGGTTCCAGAAGAAGGGCTAGCGGCAGAACAACATGGGCCAGGGCAGAGGTAAGAAAACAGGCCCAACAAAGAAAGGAGAGGGCTGCCTTGGCCCATGGGGCCAATACCTCCACACTCTCCACCTTATTGACCATCATTGGTGGTGCATGGTATCACAAAGTAACATGAGCACGTGGTTCATCATCGCTGGGTCACCAGTGATATCCTAAAGACATAACTGGCAAACAAATTGGAGATACACAAAATACTCCCAAAAGGAAATTGGAGAAGTACCCAAAGTACTCTCCCTAAACGTGAGAGTAGATTCTCTCAAGCACTACGCTTTCAAGAGTCTACCCTCCAACATACCCAAAACCTGCAAACAGAGTTAACCGCAGTCCAAATTTAAAATTCGTTTACAAGACAAAAGTTTTTCAGCAGATAGACACTTCGTCCCCATATCTGCAGGGTTGAACTCTGAGGGTATCTTGCACAGCTTCACTTTACCTGCATCTAAAACATCACGAATAAAATGGAACCTCACATCAATGTGTTTGGTCCTGTCATGAAAAACAGGGTTTTTGCAAAGCTGGATAGCAGACTGGCTATCAGAAAACACAGTAACATCCTGTTTAAGAAAACCTATTTCAGCAACAAGACGACTTAACCAGATGGCTTCCTTGAAAGCTTTTGTAGCTGCAACATACTCAGCTTCAGTGGTTGATAAGGCAACAATTGGTTGTAACTGAGATTTCCAACTAATACACGACCCACACAAAGTGAACACATAGGAAGTGGTAGATTTCCTATTGTCTTTATCATTAGCATAGTTAGAGTCAACATAACCACTCAGTTTCACACTTTCAGTACACTTAGTAAAAATCAAACCATGATTAGCAGAAAATTTCAAGTATCTCAAAAGCCATTTCAAAGCATTCCAATGAGGCATACCAGGAGTAGACATAAACCTACTCAAACAACTCACAGCATAGGCAATATCAGGTCTAGAACTAACCATCAGATACATCACAGAACCTATAGCATTGGAGTAAGGAACAGACTTCATAAGCTCAATTTCAGAATCAGTCTTAGGAGACTGATTCTTACTTAGCACAAAATGAGAGGCAAGAGGAACATGCACAGGTGCAGCAGAAGACATATTGAACTTACTCAAAACCTTCTCAACATACGAAATCTGATTTAGAACAAGAGTATGCTTGCTCCTGTCCCTAATAATGTTAATCCCAAGTATCCTCTTAGCATCACCAAGATCTTTCATCGCAAAGTTCTCACAAAGACATTTTTGAACAGACATAATAGATTTAAGACAAGGGCTAATAATCAACATGTCATCCACATAGATTAACAAGAACACAGGTACAGAATTAGTATTCTTGAAATAAAGACAATGATCACAGGCAGATTTCACAAATTTCATAGACTGCATACACTTGTCAAACCTAATATTCCACTGCCTAGGGGATTGCTTCAGGCCATACAAGGCCTTCCTAAGCAGACAGACATGGTCACTCCTCTTGGGATCCACAAAGCCCTCAGGTTGAGTCATGTAAATTTTCTTATCCAATTCACCATGCAGAAATGTAGTGGTGACATCCATTTGTTTCATCTCCCAGTCATGGTGAGCAACCAATGCCAACATGATTCTAACAGTAGTAAACTTAACTACAGGAGCAAAGATTTCGGCATAATCTACCCCCTCTTTTTGAGTAAACCCCTTGGCAACTAACCTGGCCTTATACCTAATGTTATTACCCGGTTCTTCCTTGACCTTAAACAGCCATTTGCACTCAACCACTGAGCTGGCATTAGGTCTAGGAACAAGGGTCCAAGTCTGGTTCACTCTTAGAGAGTCCATCTCACTTTTCATGGCCTCAAGCCATCTCTGAGACTCTCTGGACCTTATAGCTTCACTATAGGTCTTAGGTTCATTTAGGTCTAGGGCCTCAAACACAGTAAAAGCAAAATCAGATATATCACACGCAGTAAAAGCATAATCAGACAAAGTATCAGATTTTCTCTTAATGGTTCTTCTACCCCTATCCCTAACAAGTTGGTAGTCATGCAAATCAACATTATCATTCTCAGCAGAATCATCAAACACATTGGTCTCACCAGACAGAGAATCATTTTGCACATGGTCATCTTGAGTATTAAACTCCACCTCACCGGAGGTAGCAGTATCAGAAGAAGTATTAACATGCACATCAGAAGGGATGACAGGAACAACAGGAGGAGTGTCATACATAACAACAGGAATAATAGGTACAGGAGGAGTCTGAGGCTCCAC